TTTCAAAAATGAAAGACAAAGTCCCGCTGCTTGGCTTAACCAACACAGTCTACTCCATCAATTGCAACAACTGCAACCAAATATACATAGGTCAGACCTCCAGATCTCTTAAAGGAAGGATTACATCACACAAAAGTCATGCTAGGCTTCATCCTGAAAGATGCGCTCTAGCATCTCATGTTAACACAATAGGGCATTCTATGAATTACACAAGTATCAAAGTTCTTGATAAAGAAAAACACCTTTCCAAACGTTTATTCCTGGAAATGTCCCACATTTTCATGAATAACAACTGTATCAACAAAAAGACAGATGTTAAACAACTGAGTGTCATTTACTCATATTTGAACTTAGATATCTCCCCAAATTTCAACTCTTCACAACCATAATTAGAATCTGTGTTTTGGCCGATTCCACCAGTAAATTTCATTCCACTCAAAATATAATAATTCTCTCCTCACGATTTATTAATATTTGTTAATTTAAATTCCCATTAATAATAATATAGTTTATTCAACTGCCTCTGGTCGGTTTAACAAATTCTAACATAAAATTCTGAAAATCTCATCATCTGAAATGATTTGGCAACGTTTGGCACACGCCCACAATTCGTTCCATCTTTCAACACTGACATTGACATCCTTCGGCCTTCTGTCAAAGGGTTTCATGTCACTCATTATTCCATGACCACTAATTTGTGCAATCATCAAGTGGCTTCACGATGTAATGTTTTTTAAATAATTTTTAATCTGTTTTTAACTTGTTCTTGTCATATTTTATATAATTTTGACCATTGTACAATCTGTCCAGCTCTCACCATGTTACTGGACGTTTCCCTCATCCTATACGTTAACAACAATTAGCAACATCCTCACATACTACTGTAAGTTGAGTCAATTTAAATTCATTTTACACCTTTGTTGCTACTGTTATCATTGTAATTGCAGCTCCTGATGATGATGGCAAAGTCCATTGAAAGCTAGAGAGAATTAAAAAAAGTATAAAGAGTCCTCTTTGCTTAAATTTTGTCGAAGTACCCAACAAAAGGCGGAAGCTTTAATTTTTCACCTATATATATATATATATATAAGTAAAAAAGAAACATTTTTTTAATTTATCACCTTATATCTTGAAAACTCAGCATTTCCGGACCCATGTTTATAGAAAATTTTATTTTTCGAACACTCTGTATTTGTTCAACTCGGAAACTGCTTATATTTTCTTAGAGTCCAACCTTCAATGTTTTATCATATGTACGTATATAGAGGAAGCTTTTCCCAATCCTACTAACCTTAGGCTGTTCAAAAATCGGATTAAAAAAAATTCTTTTGGGTTCTCATAGCAGCCGCGGTGCCCTGGCATTTAGGTTTCTGCTTGCGCGGCTGCTTCGGTATAAAAAAAATTAAAAATATTCATAAGGAAAGTTAATTTCATAATATTTACAAAAATATGGAGTCCTATTATCAAAAAGTTGCAGGGATTCGTTTTTCCGAAATAACTCAAAACCCAAAATCACTATAACACATCCGTACGCGGCTAACGTTGCGAATACCGTTTAAACTTACCGATTTGTTAATATTTTCCTATTCCAGTAATCTTCAATAGATCATTCAAACTTATACGGTATCATAGCGATCCAACTTCCTGTACAAATATCCATTCTATTAGATAGTCAACATCGGCATTTTAACACAAAAATAACATGATGGAGTTACACTTTAATAGCAAAGCAAAAATGCATTCACAGACCTTGACGGTGCAAGCAACTTTGAAACGTTCCCTAGCGAGGAAGTAAGGAAACTCGTAAGTTAGGTCAGTGACCGCTCTATTTTTCCTACCAAATTTAGGTCGACCGGCTATAAACGAAAGTCAAAGCTGGTATTGATCTTGTGCTACTTACAACAGGTGCAAACTCGATTAGTTGATCAGTGGTAGTGTTCTTCTTACTGAGAAACACATTGTTTTGATGTTATTTTTATTCTATGTATATTTTTCTTCCGTCACTTCCTGATTGACATTTGCATTCCAATGTTTTTGATACTCGTCCAATGTTTTTTCAGAACTAATTCACTCTCATTAGTATTTACTTTACTCTTTGAAAAGTATTTTCTAGCAATTTTCACATGCTGCTTGAGTTTATCTTATGTGACTAAACGTACGCTTTTATAATCAATAACAGCTGGATGTGATTATGCGCAGAGGGCCTTATCTAAGGACCTTTTGCCATCCACATGTTAGTCTAGCAGATTTGGTTATGTTAAGTTTTGAGAATAGAAGATACTAACTAGCTAGATTAATCGTGTAAAACTTGTTTCTAATAATATAAACTGGTGGACAGTTGACAGTTGCTTTGCAACATGGAAAATTTTACCCAAATTCAAATCTTGATATTTTCGGAATGGAAAGAGATATTGAGTTACGGTATTCGAGAGGTTCTTAACCAACTCTTTGAGAATACGTACGTCATGTTTTTTTAGCAAAGTTTGGGGCTATGTCATATTCTCAATTTCTATATTGGTAATTTTTCTATGCATCTTTTTGTTCTTTCGACTATTATAATGAAGCAATTTCATAACACACATAATCGAATTTTAAAAAGTGTTACATTTGTCCCAAAAAAGGGACTTTTTTGGGGTTTCTCGTGAAAATGGGTATTTTTTCTCATACTGTTGGATAAACCGGAAAAATTGTACTCATTGAACGTTATTGCCTCCAGTGTCGTGCAGTATAAATTTGGTACTCTGACAATTTTACTATGCAATTAAACAGCTTAATGAACAAATCCAAGTTACTACTCCTAATATAGGGGTGTATTTCAGTGACGTAACACCAAAAGCTTTTTTTTTGGTTTGTCAAGAAGTGCTAATCACTTGAAGATTTTTATTTTTCAAAATGCTATAATGCTGGCCACTCGTTTATCTGGAATTTTTTATCTTTCTCATTCAGCATTGGCGTACCCGTCTTCACTGGAGATGTTTTAACTAATAGGTCAGGAGTTCCTAAACAGGGAGGCGCGCCTCCCAAGGGGGGCTTAGAGAGATGTCACGGGGGCGGAAAGCGTTTGAGTTTTAGAAATAAAAAACAATAAAATAAACAAACAACATTAACAAATAACATTACAATGTGACGTTTGATTTACACGCATAAAATTAGAAATTAAATATCATATTCACTTATTCTATCAACCGCTGTTTTAAAACTCGGCGTCGTCAATCGTAGTTTATACAAGTTTCGACAAGTCACAACATGAAATCCGCGCGCACCACCACCGCGCTCCGCTTTACATTCATCACTTACAAAACAATTGTGTACCTACCAGACGCGGATGAGCATCTGTGACATTCATTCCCACAAACTTGCGGAAAATTTGATGTTTCGATGTACATGTTTTGTAGAGAAATCTGTTTGAGTGTCTCAAATTATTGTGTATCACTGTTAATAGGTAAGTTTGTGTATTTACAAACTTCAGTTACCATTTTTATTTAATTTACTAAATTGTTGATTGAGTGGAGACGCGTTCATAGATCGGCCAATGGGACTTTTTTACCACATCACAATCAAACCAACGTGACGAAATAATTTTGAAACGACGAACTTTAAATACCTAATATTGATTCCAAATGTAAAGTCCAATAGGGACGCAGGAAAGTAAACGTCAATTTGACTTAGACGCCATCTTTGTTTTCTGTCACCGACATGTCATTTTGTTAGTTGAATGTTTACCATTGATCGTATTCGATTGAAGACCGCATTAAAGTTATTCAAGAGCACTACAAAAATGGTGCAAAAATAAAAAAACACGTTTCGCGCGCTTCGTGAACATTTCGGTCGCAACAACCGCCCAAACGAAACAACCATCGCTCGTCTGGTGCGTAAATTCGAGGCAACAGGTTCTGTGGCAAATCTGCCAGGCTCTGGCCGGCCAAGGAGCGTTCGCACACCGGAAAATATTGCTGTTGTGAAGGAGAGTGTGAGAGACGATCCGAAACAATCAACAACGCGTCGATCCCAAGAATTGGGCATTTCGAGAACCAGTTTGCTCCGCATTCTCCACAAGGATTTGAATGTACACGCCTGCAAGATCCAATTGACGCAAGAGCTGCGTCGGGCCGACCATTTTTCGCACCGAACGTTCTCAGATTGACTCCTTGAACACCGCCAAATTGATGCCAATTTTTCATCAAAAATCATGTTCAGCGACGAAGCGCATTTCACTTTGAATGGGACGGTAAACAAGCAAAACTGCCGCATCTGGGCGAACGAAAATCCCCGTGAGTATCAAGAGCAGCCGATGTATCCTCAAAAAGTGACTGTGTGGTGTGCATTGTGGTCAAAAGGCATCATCGGACCTTACTTTTTCGAAAATGCGGCCGGAGACGCCGTTACCGTCAATTCTGAGCGATATCACGTGATGATAGAGGACTATTTTTTGCCGCAACTTGAAGGAATGGATATGGACGATGTTTATTTCCAACAAGACGGTGCAACATGCTACACAACCAACGTCAATATCCATCGATTGCAGTCCTTCTTCGGTGATCGCGTGATTTCGCGCAGAGGAAATGTGCCATGGCCACCAAGATCGTGCGATTTGACTCCCTTGGACTTCTTTTTATGGGGATATTTGAAAAGCAAAGTCTACGTCAATAAACCAGCCACCCTCCAAGAACTCAAAAACAACATCATTGTCGTGATAAATGCCATAGAACCGACCATGTTGCAAAATGTCATTGAAAATTTCGACCATCGCGTGGACGTCTGTAAATCCAGTCGTGGTGAACATTTGAGCGATATTATTTTTCGTACATAAATGGTATAAATGAACCTTTAAAATAAAGTACCCAACTTGATTTGAATATCAATCTTTCTTGTTTTAATATGCGTTTACTTTCCTGCGTCCGTTTTGGACAACCCCATACTTATTACTTATTTAACTTCATAAAAATCTTTTCTACCCTGAAGTATTTTAATGTTATTCCATGTAATTTTTTCATTTTTGGTGTTTTTGGAAAATTGTTTTCCTACTTGACTGGTTAATGTTTTTATATCATAAATGTCACTTTGTTGGACTTCGTTAACAACATAAGGTGTGCCAGTTTTTTTTTGCAAGGGCGATGATGGGTATCCACTGTGCAGGTATATAGATGATGTTAGCTTTTAGCGTTCTGTTCTCATCTCTTTCAATGGCAGAATGCATACTGTCACCCTCATTGTGGGTATGACCTGCAATGAAGAACTTGTGGTTAATGGTATTTATGTTTAGTAGTAAAGTACCCAACTTGATTTGAATATCAATCTTTCTTGTTTTAATATGCGTTTACTTTCCTGCGTCCGTTTTGGACAACCCCATATTTAAAATTACTATTATAACGTCAACCGGCCTACAAAAATATAAATCTCCCGGTGGCCAATATACTGTTAAATACATGACGTTAAGATAAAATAATGGGCATATAATTAGTAATTACATGTAGGTATTTTGCTTATTCATTCATTACTTAGTTGTTTTATTGTTATAGGTGCAAAATGACAGCGAAAAAAAGAAAGTTTCCCGAAGCATACGTTAAGTTTGGACTTCATCGAAAAAGATGAGTTACAATTGCCTCAGTGTGTGATATGTATGAAAGTCTTAAGTAATGATAGCATGAGGCCTAATCGCCTTAAAAGGCATTTGAAGCAACAACATCCTACTCTGGTTTTGAAGACGAAAGAGTTTTTTTCTGCTAAATCAGAATCAATCAAGCGGATGAGACTGAATAAATCGGGAAGTTATCACACAGGTATATCGCAGCATCTCGAAGCTTCATTTGAAATAGCTTTTATGATAGCAAAGCAAGAGAAACCTCATACTATCGGTGAAGAATTAATAAAACCATGCCCAGAGCAAAAATTAAGTCTATTTCTCTTTCGAATAACACAGTCAAGCGTAGAATCGATGACATTGCAGCAGACATAAAGTCACAAATAATTAACAAAGTAAAATTATCTCCATTTGTTGCCATTAGTTGCGATTAATCCACCGAGAACGTTAATTGGGCACAGTTAACAGTTTATGTAACGAACATCGCCGAAGAAATCATTCAAGAAGAGATTTTGTACTCCGAATCTTCGACAGCAGGTACTACTACATCTGAAGATATATTTAATTTAATAACAAATATTGAAAAAAAATATTTGGATTGGATGACACATTTCAATGGAGATTGGGTTATTTAACTGACATATTTGACTCCTTGAATGAGCTGAGCTTGAAACTTCAGGGCAGAAACAACACTATAATAAGCAATTATCATTATATTCAGGGGTTCATACCAAAGCTTCAACTTTGGACTCAAAAGGGGTCTTCTGAAAATGTTATATCTTTTTCTCGGCTGTTTGAAGCGATTAAAAATAACATACTGGACCCAAATTTAAAAGCTGACATAAACTCATTTGCAAGCGCTGGAAGACGAATTTCGCCGATACTATCGAGACATCAATTCAGAGTCACCAATATGGCACATGACAAGAAATCCATTTGTTGTCGATGATTCACAATTACCAGAAGAAGTTCAGGAAGAATTTCTAAAAATGAAGGCTGATTCGTCCATAAAAAATGACTTCCATCTTTTAACATTGGAGAAATTTGGATCAAAACATTGAACGTTAAATCGACACTTGCCTCTCTTGCTTTACGAATACTAGTTCCTTTTTCTTTAACTTATTTATGTGAGACAGACTTTTCTGCTCTAGTTTTAATTAAAAAAATCGTCTTGATGTCGATAGCGACCTGATGATAGCTCTGGCAAAAACAGAACCTAGAATCAACCAACTGGTACAGAACATGCAATCTCAAGTGTCTCATTAGTACCTACCCTTATTTTATTTAAGTTTTTTGATAAAAAACATTTATTAGATTATTTAAACTTTTAAAGTTTCTTTATTAGAATTAAAATAAAAATCTTTGTACCTATATAATGTGCGTTTTTTGTATTTAGCGAAAAACTAAAGGACGACATGAAAATATAATTTATAGTCCTGTAATAGGTCATAGACTCTATTAAATCTTTGAACAATATCAAATAATGCATTGATTAACATTCACAATATATAACATTTTAGAAAACCAGTTAAATACCTAAAATATTTATTTATTACAAAACGAACTTTTTACAAAATAGCAACAGTTATTTTAAACAACATTGTTACTACCTTGTATGGCCATCGATCACAGACTAGCACCTTCGTGACATACTTTCCAGAAAGTTATTAATAAATTTTTTATTTTTATGGGGATATTTATTATTGTACGAGGGTGGTCCCAGAAGCACCCGGCCCAAAGAAGAAAACACAATTTAAAAAAAAATATATTTATTTTTCAACATAATCTCCTTTGAGCTCTATACATTTTTCTCAGCGATGTTCAATAAGTTCGATACCCTTTTTATAACAAGAACTGTCTTGCTCGTCAAAATAGCCATTAACTGCCGACATCGCTTCTCCATCGTTGGAAAATCTTTGACCACTGAGCCATTTTTTCAAGTTTGTAAACAGAAAATAATCTGAGGAGGTTAAATCTGGTGAATAGGGTGCATGAAGTAGCAGTTCAAACTTTAATTCGTTAATTTTGGCCATTGCAATAACAGATTTGAGAGCTGGTGCATTGTCTTGATGAAACAACACTTTCTTCTTAACCAAATGCGGCCGTTTCTGCTTGATTTCATCGCTCAAACTTTGCAATAAGTTCGCATAATACTCGCCGTTGATAGTTTTACCTTTTTCAATATAGTCAATGAAAATTATCCCACGCGCATCCCAAAAAACCGACGCCATAACCTTGCCTGCAGATGAAACGGTCTTCGCCTTCTTTGGAGCCGGTTGTCCCTTTTGAGTCCATTGTTTTGATGGTTCTTTTGTCTCGGTTGTGAAGTTATGGGCCCATGTTTCATCCATGGTTATGAAACGACGCAAAAATTCTGCTTTGTTGCTGTGAAACTTCGTTAAACACTCAATTGAAACATCTTCACGACACTGTTTTTGCTCGATTGTGAGCAATCGCGGCACCCATCTCGCACACAGCTTTCTCATGTCCAAATTTTCAGATAATATGCGATGAGCCGCACTTTTTGAAATGCCTACTATGTCTGCTAGCTCGCGCACTTTCAGTCGACGATCATTCAGTACCGCTTTGTGAATTTTCTTCACCATTCCTGTCGTCACCTCATTTGGTCAACCACTACAATGCTCGTCTTGGCCTCGTTTAAACTCCGCTACCCAATATTTTACTGTTGAAAACGAAGGAGCAGACTCACCCAGAGTAGAATCCAGTTTAGCTTTTATATTGGTTGGGCTGAGGCCTTTGAATAAAAGTATTGTACCACATAACGATCACCAATTTTCTCGATTTTTACAAATTCACTGAAAACGTTCAGTATTGATGGCCAACACACAAATACTAAACAACGTGGAGTCTTCAAACTTGACACATGTGCTTTATAGGTTGCTTACTTTCTAATACAATGATATTCTTCAAACAACTAACGCCATCTCTAGGTCAGGCCGGGTACTTCTGGGACCCCCCTCGTATGGAGGTAAATGGACACAGTTTTTAGCACTTATTGCCACATTGACCTACCTGTTTAGAGCAAATTAGTTTTTACTTTAACTTTAATGTACATGTAAACTGTAAGCTGTTTTTGTAATAATGGGAGACTTGTTTTTAATTTTAAAGTAAAGTCTTGTTACTATGGGAACTATACTAAGTGACATATAAATCCGATCACCCAGTTTAAATGGTTTTATTTTAATAAAAGTTGCTGAATGTATTTATCTTACTGTAAATAACAAGTGAAAAAATTTTCAGCCTTATCAGTTGGACATTCCGGTTTTTGTACTGCTTTTTTTTAATTCACTAACGCTCTAAAAATGAATAATTCAGCTGCAGTAAAGAATCAACGTTGGCGGATTTTGGTTCTTGACATCCTTTACGATCGGTTACGATGCCTAGAGTACGGAGACCTGTACGATTTCGTCAACTTAGTGAGTTTGATAGGGGCCGTATAGTGGGACTTCGGGAAGCTGGACTTTCTTTTCGGGCAATTGCAGTTAGAGTGCAAAGAAGTGTAGACACTGTGGTTAGGTGTTGTCAGGCATGGCTTCGAGAAGGCCGTACGCAAAGAGCAAGGGGCACTGGACGCCGCCGTAGAACAGCAGACCGTGAAGATCGCCGCCTAAGATTATTGGCCTTAAGGGACCGTTTCTCCACTACCAGGTCCATTGCAAATGAATGGTTTGCAGAACACGGAAGACCTATTTGGCATGCGAAGTGTTTACCGACGAATGAGAAGTTTTGGCTTGTTTTCATACCGGCCACACTGGGTCCTCCCTTTAACTCGAGAACACCGACGTAATCGCCTTGAGTGGTGCAGACAACGGTCACTCTGGAATCAGGAATGGAACAGTATTGTCTTTAGTGACGAGTCTCGATTTTGTTTAGGCATGCACGATGGTCGTGCCAGGGTTAGAAGGCGACGTGGTGAAAGGAGGAATCCACAGTTTTTTGTTGAAAGACATGATCATCACACTGTTGGAGTTATGGTTTGGGGTGCTGTAGCTTATGGTTCCAGGTCACCTTTAATCTTCATCAGAGGTAACATGAACGCGCAGCGTTATATTCACGAAGTTCTAGAAACCCATCTTTTACCCTATCTTGACACCCTGGCAGATCGAACTTTCCAACAAGATAATGCCCGACCACATGTTGCAAGAGTCACAATAGACTTCTTTCAGCATAATGATGTCACATTGTTACCATGGCCACCAAGATCTCCCGACTTATCCCCAATTGAGCACGTGTGGGATATGATGGGTAGGAGATTGCTCAATTTGCAACGTCCTCATCAGACTCTAGAAGCACTTCGAGAGGAGTTGGTGGTTGCATGGAATGAGATACCACAGGAGGACATTGACCACCTGGTCAGAAGCATGTCTAGGCGCGTTGGAGAATGCGTAGCACATCAGGGTACATCCACACATTATTAAAGGTCAAAGGGCTTTAAAGCAGTGCAATCATTTTGAAATTTTTATCATTTACTTATTATGCTTCCTTAAGTACTTATACAAAATTTTATTAAAATTAAACCATTTAAACTGGGTGTTCGGATTTATATGTCACTTAGTATATATTGATTATTATTCTTACGATACCTATCCCTTATCATCAGAATTTCTAGAATTATGTTATA